TTCTGGGGGCCTCACTCTAAGGCCCATCCATGTGTGCTATCAGAGGCCATCTGAAAGAGTGGGGAGCAATTGAAGTGACAAATAAAGAGCCTGAGGAAGACTGTCCATGTGCCATCTGCATGCAAGGAGGTGGTGTGATTTGGCTCTGAACTAGCACGTGAACGCTGGATAAGTCAGACTGCATAAATGCCTTTATCTTGGTGCCCCCTCTAAGCCTTTAGGCCTGGGCCTGGCTCCTGGCTTGCCCTCCTAGGCAGGGGTGAGGGTGGTACCACTACAGAAGCTCCTGTTCCCCATAAGGACGAGCCAAGGGGAACGAGGGCAGTGCAGCCTTTGACCCACAGATCTTTATTGCAGGGAGACCCCAGTTTGACTCCCAGGCTCGGGTTTTATTCTGGCCCCTGACGAGAGTTCAGGCAGCATGGAGACAGAAAGGAGGCCCCAGTGCGATGAGTTTTCTCTAACCCGAGTGACACTCAGGGCCCAAACCAAAATATCACGGGAGCTTTTATCTGCCAGGGCCCTGGGCAAGCAAGAGCTCTGAATGGGAGATGGGGGCAGGAGACCTCTGTCCCCTTAGTCGACTTTGTGAAGCATGGGAGTCTTGCTAGGAGTGTTAGACTGTGTAGCTTTCTGTCCACCTCAGTTCCTAGGTGCAAGCCGGCTGCTCCATCTGATATTTATAAAGCCAACAACACAACGAATTGGATTTAGAGGGTGTGTGGGGCTCCAGCGTGGTCCGTGAATAACAGTGTTTTCAGATTCACAGGTAGCTCAAGGGATTTTCAGGGATTACTCTGCCCACTCATGAGTTTTGCCTTTATAAACTGATGGTAGTATGTAACCTCCAGGACAGTGACTGTGAACTTGTATGTACTGAGTAGCCATGCTAGAGAATTTGCCATGTTATGGTTCCATTCAATCCTTCCAACAACCGTATGAGGTAGGTACCATGTAATCCCCATTTTGCAGATGAGAAAACAGAAGTTCATAAGTTCATACATGTCACTTAGCTGTTAAATGATAGCTACCACTTGAACCCAGGTCTCTGACTCTGCATACCAGACCCCTAGGTTCTTCACCTTCTGAGGAAGGAGCCCTTTCCTTAGTGCAGGCTGACCTAGCTGACAGGGGTCCCAACACAGAATGGGCAGTAGGGCAGGTGTTCAAACTGGCCACTTTCTGTTGGGGATAAGGCAAGATTTCCCAACTGGGAGCCAGCAGCGGGACAGGCTGCCTCACTGAGTCTGGGGGCCAGCAGAGAGCTCGTCCTGCCTGACCAGGAGAGGGCTAAGGCAGCTCTTCAAGACTCCGTGTTATGCTCGGACCCTCTAGAAAGTTCTCTTCCTCGCTGCCACCTGCTGACATTACCTTCCAGTGCAGAGCATTGGCCCTGCACATGGGCCGTTTCTTTGGGATGCAGAGCCACCCTCCCTCCAACTCCTGTTGCTACTGTGCAGAAGCTCGTGTATAAATGCCCCATAGCATGTATTCCTCCCAGAATGTCAGCACCTCTGCTGGCACCTCTCCCTGGTATCCATGAGCCTGAATGCAAGAGGCTGAGGGAGGGTGACAGAAGCTCATGGAGCACAGGCACTAGGGGCCTGGATTCTGATACCCTGGGGGTGTCAGGATAGGGGAGGGGGGATGTCACCAAGGGCCTGCGCATTCCAGCACTGTGCTGGAGACTTAGCATGTGTTCTAACCTTCCCAGCATCATGCCTGGGAGGTGCAGGCTCCTTCCCCTGTTTTGCAGATTCAGAAGCTAAGTCCCTTGATTAAGAACTCAGGACAGATTGATAGGTGAGCCCAGATTCTGACTTTGTCCCCCTCCCCCTACATTCCCTCTACAGTTACTTCCCTTCTTTAAGCCAATGTCTACTACCTGTGAACACTCATCACCTCCACTGACAGTGGGCCCCACACTGTTCCGGATCTGGGGACATGGTGCTGAACAAGGTCCCTTCCCTCAGGGAGCTGACAAGCCAGGAGGGAGTCAGGCAATAAGTCACTGATGTGGTATATTGGAAGATGACCAAAAAACGGGGCAGTGACGGGGGGGAGGGGGGTTGGTACTTGCTACTTAAGGTGAAGGGAAGGCCCTACTCATCCCATGACATGTGAGCAGAAGTGAAGGAATAAGCCACAGGGACATCTGAGGGAAGAGAATTCCAACTTAAGGGAACAGCCAGTGCAAAGGCCCTGAGGTGGGAGTGTTCCTTGCATTTTAGAGAAACAGCAAAGAGACTTGTTGTTGGCGTGGTGGGAATAAGGAGGAGACAAGATCACAGAGGGAACAAGAGGCAGATTGTGCAGGTCGTTGGGCCACAGAAAGGACTGGCTTTTACTTTGTGCAGGAGGAGCCATGAGGTTTCTGAGCACAGAAGGGATGTGATCTAACTCGGGTGCTCACAGGGCGTCTTTTGGGAAGGAGACTGAAGGATGGGACAGGCAGGGAGCCCAGGGAGGGCCTGCTGAATTGGTTCAGGCTGGAGAGGAGGGTGGTTGGAACAAGGTCGGGGGTGGGGGTGCCAGGGGAAAAAGTGGGATTCTGGATGTATTCTGAAAGTAGATGCCACAGAACTTGTTGATGGATTGGACACTGTGTGAGAAAGAAAGTGATTGAGCAGCTGGGAGGATGGGGTTTGCTGTTACTCACAGAGACAAGACTGTGGTAAAAGCCAGTTTGGGGGGAAATCAGGAGTTAAGTGTTGGCCATGTTAGATCTGAGGTGCCTTATTAGATACCCCAGGGGAAGATATTGCTCAATGGTTGGATACACAGGTTGAGAGGAACAGTAAATAATACAAATAATAAATTACAATTAGAGTAGTTATGATCTTATAATACATAATGATATTAACAACAGCTTACTAAGCTCACTCTTCGGCCTTTCCACCTGCTCCATTTCTTGCTTTTACAGTAGCCATGTAACATATTAGGCATTATTCTCAGAAGAGGAAACAGGCTTATTAATTAAAATAAAGGTTTATTAATTCACTAAGTAAACACAGCTAGTCAGTGGCAAGAGTCAATATTGGGTCCCAGGTCTGTCCAAATTTGAGACCAGAACTTTTTTTTGTATTGAAGTATCATTGATATACAATCTTATGAAGGTTTCACATGACCAACATTGTGGTTTCAACATTATCAAGTCCTCCCCACATGCCCCATTGCAGTCACTGGCCATCAGTGTAGTAAGACACTATAGAGTTATTACTTGTGTTCTCTGTGCTGTACTGCCCTCCCTGTGATCTACCTACATTGTGATTGTGGATTATAGTACCCCTTAATCCCCTTCTCCCTCCCCACCTACCCTTCCCAAACCCTCCCCTTTGGTAACCGCTAGTCCCTTCTTGGAATCTGTGAGTCTGCTGCTGTTTTGTTCCTTCAGTTTTTCTTTGTTTTTATACTCCACAAATGAGTGAAATCATTTGGTACTTGTCTTTCTCTGCCTGGCTTATTTCACTGAGCATAATACCCTCTAGCTCCATCCATGTTGTTGCAAATGGCAGATTTCTTTTTTTATGGCTGAATAGTATTCCATTGTATATATGTACTACACCTTCTTTATCCACTCATCTATAGAGTTGCTTCCATACCTTGGCTTTTAGTAACTAGTGCTGCAACATAGGGGTTGCATATGTCTTTTAAAATCAGGGATCTTGTTTTCTTCCAGTAAATTCCTAGGAGTGAAACTACTGGTTCAATGGTATTTCTATTTTTAATTTTTTGAGGAACCTCTGTATTGCTTTCCACAACAGTTGAACAAATTTACATTCCCACCGGCAGTGTAGGAGGGTTCCCCTTTCTCTGCATCCTTGCCAGCATTTGTTGTTTGTTGTCTGTTGGATGTTGGCCATCCTAACTGGCATGAGGTGATACCTCATTGTGGTTTTAATTTGTGAGGTGGAACATCTTTTCATGTGCCTGTTGGTCATCTGAATTTCTTCTTTGGAGAAGTGTCTGTTCAGATCCTCTGCCCATTTTTTAATAGGGTTATTTGCTTTCTGGGTGTTGAGGCATGTGAGCTCTTCATGTATGTTGGATGTTTAATCCCTTATTGGATAAATCGTTTATGAACATACTCTCCCATACTGTGGGATGCCTTTTTTCTGCTGATGGTGTCCTTTGCTGTACAGAAACTTTTAAGTTTGATCTAGTCTCATTTGTTGATTTTTGCTTTTGTTTCCCTTGCTGAAGGAGATGTGTTTAGGAAAAAGTTACTCATGTTTATATTCAAGAGATTTTGCCTATGTTTTCTTCTATGAGTTTTATGGTTTCATGACTTACATTCAGGTCTTTGGTCTATTTTGAGTTTGCTTTTGTGTATGGTATGGGGTTAGACAATAATCCAGTTTCATTCTCTTGCATGTAGCTGTCCAGTTTTGCCAACACCAGTTGTTGAAGAGGCTGTCATTTCCTCATTGTATGTCCATGGCTCCTTTATCATGTATTAATCAACCACGTATGTGTGGGTTTATATCTGAGACCAGAATATTTTCTAATCTGCTAGTTGCTTTTGTAATAGAGAGAGTGGGTTGAACTGGATGATCCTTAAGGATTCCTTTCAGCTCTGGAGAGCCTTACACCTGGCAGTTCTCTGCTTTGGAGCAAAGGTCCCCAAAACCTACTAGAATTGTGCGTAGGTCAAAAGTCCATAGGTACTGAATGGGCAGGGGACTCACCTAAATTTCTTCTTTGAACTTGAGTGTCTGAGCTCTACCAAGACAGCCTTTCTGATTTTGCCTATTTTGGGGATCAGGGCAGAGCTTCAGGGAGGCAGCTAAGTGGTTACTGGTCTTGCTTTGTTAGAGGACACCCTTGCTTAGAGGAGGAAGAGACTTGCCAACGTCACACACAGACGGTCAGAATCAAGGATCTGACTCCTCTGAAAATCCTCCTTCCACACCTGGGCATCTTCCCTGCGTCCCCACCCCCTCACCAACCCTCCATCTCCACCCAGATTGCTTCCCTGGCACAAGAGGATGTAGGCGGAGTTGGTTTTCAGGTATTTATTGTGGATGCATTCTGGCGGCGGGATAGGGCGGAGGGGAGGCAGAGGAGGCCGGGTGGCAGGAGTGTAAAGCGGTGGGGTGGGGGCTAACTTCTTTACCCTCGGATCTTCAGTTCCCGGGCCATCTGACAGAGCGCGCAGGGCAAACAAAATGTGAGGGCCGCCCAGTCGTGCGGGATAGAGCCCTGGAGGCGGAGGGAGAGAGAGGTTAGGAGCCCCGACCTGGACCCTAGGGGGGCCAGTGTCCAGTCCCGGCTCCCGCGGGGCCCGGGCCCGTGCGCACCTGGATGTGGTAGCGCTCGCGCATGCCGGTGCGGAGGGAGTTCAGGCCTCCGAGCAGGTAGGGCGTGCAGCAGCACTCTCCAAAGTCATCGGAGATGCGGCAGGCGAGGCACAGGGGAGCGAAAGTGCCGCACAGACCTGGGGCGGGCGCCGGGAGGTCAGGTTGGGGGCCGCGCGCGCCACCTGCCGGCTGCGCCCCGGGAGGGGAGAGGCGGAGGGTCCCGGGAGCGGAGTCGAGGGCCGAGGGGGAATTGAGTGTTGGAGGAAGCGAAGGTCCCAGAGGGAATTAAGGGTCTCAGGAGGGGATTGTTTAGAGGTCGGCAAATAGGGTCTGGAGGGAGAGTTGGCGCCGCAAATACGAAAGTTAATGGTGCCAGGGGGAAGTTGCCCAAAGCGAGGGCAAGTTGGAAGGTGCGAGATCAGGAACCCAGGGCGTGTTGGAGGTCCGAGGAAGGGGTGAGGCTAGGGGAATTCAGGGTCCAAGGAAGAGTGGGGAATGGGGTTAGCGGTGTTAGCAGGGCATCGGGCGGGGTTGGAGGTGACCTCGCGCCCCTCCACATTCCCTGGGCCTGGAGAGGGAGCGGTGGGCACTCACAGACGGGCATGTCATTGCAGCAGTCCGTGAGACCGGTGTGCCAGTCACTGAGCTGGGTCTGGTAGCTGCTGCTGGCACACTGGGGCTGACTGGTCACTGGGTAGGACATGGCTGCGGAGGTGAGGGACGGAGGTCAGCGGGCAGCCTCACCGCGCCGACCGCCGACCGGCTGCCGCCCCGCTGCTGCCCCTCCCCCTGCCGGGCAGTCTGGGCGGGGCCATTAGGCCGCCCACTGAGAGGATACCACTGCGCCTCCCTTTTCCCTTCTTCCACATCTGGGCATCGACAACCCAGGCTGTCCCGGTTGCCGCTGCCCCCTGCGCATCTGGTTGAGCTGGGGGTGGGGGCTCCTGCACATCTGGGGAAGGGTGGACGCCCCGTGTGGACGGGGCCAAGACGTGATGTTGCCTCTTCCACATCTGAGCCAGGGGTGCTGGGTTCCCACATTTCAGGGACCTCTGGGGTGCAAGCAGGTGCCATCTGTCTTCAAAGCCAGGGTGCCCAGGGGAGGGAAGCGGCCAGGTTCTGAGGACTGGAAGAGTTGCTGGTCCATCCAGCGATCCCACCTTTGCCTTTCACGTTGTCATGCATCTCAAACTGCATCTTGCTGGCCTGAGGAGGCGGTGTTGGGGACGGCAGAGGTGACAGCGGTGACAGTGGCAGAGTCTGTCCAAGGGACGCTGGATACTAGGGTAGGGGAGGGCAAGGGGCAGGGGCGCTGGGGGCTGGGTTCAGAGGGGGAAGGGATCTGGGGAGAAAGAGGCCAAGTCAGCCTGCAGCTCGGAGAGACAACGGAGTAGGGCTGTATGGGGTGGGGGCGAGGAACTCGCCCATCTCTGTACAGCTGCCCGACAGACCCTGGAGGACCCTTCTCATATCAGAGGCAGAGCTGGATAGAAAGACCGAGAGGCAGAGTCAGAGACAAAGGGAGAGAGAGCAGAGCCAGGTGCCCAAACAGACGCTGCCAGTGCCTCTCATACCTGCCCAGCACTGTAGCTTCTACAAGGCTGTTCCACAGGCAGAACCCTGAGGCTCAGAGAGGTGAAGAGAAATGCCCTACATCTGATGGCCTAGGCCAACGGGGTCAGTTGAGGGGATGCTGGGCCCCAGGACTTCCAAATTCAGCCCAGTGCCATTCAGGTTGAAAAAGGGGAGTCAGGGCCCATCAAGAAAGACAGGATGTCCAGAGAGAGAGAGACAGAGATATGCAAGGAGACAGAAAGATGTAAGCGGAGCGAGTGGAGGAATAATAGGGCAGAGTCGCCCGCCTCAGAGCAGAGGGCTGCGAGCAGACGCTCCTACCTGCAGGACTGTGATGGCGATGATGGAGACAGAGGTGCGGGTGACGCGGGCACTGAGTTCTCAGGCCAGGAGCTGCTTATATTTGGGCGGGCCATGTGGCCCTGGGCGGGGCTCTGACAGAGGTGCCCAGGGAGCCAAGCCGGTCTGGCTGATGCTGTTTCCCCCATCAGGGACTTCCCTTCCCTCCCTTTCTATCCCCCATCCCCCCCAGCCCCCTCTAGCCTGGCCTCACAGGACAGGAAATCTTGGGGAAGGGGGTCCCAGGATGAGGAGCTGAGAGTGGAGACGGAATGGGGAGTGGGCAGAGAGACTAAAAGATGGAGAGAAAAGGTGCAGGGGAGGTGCAAGGGGAACAGCTGCGTGAAAGTACAGAGGCCAGAAGAGAGGGAGACACAGAGAAACGGGGAGGGAATGGAGGACAGAGACAGAAGGGCAGGCCAGATAGAAGAGAGAGAGAAGGAGATTCAGAGAGACAGAGGGAGACATAAGACAGAGACAGAGCAGCACAAAGAGCTGGAGAGAAACAACAAGAAAAGGGGAGACAGATTTGGGGGAGAGAGACAGAAAGGCGGAAAAGTGGAGGGGCAGGTAGGTGGAGGCGGTTACCACCACGGCCACTTGGAGGAAGGGGAAGTGGGAGAGGAGAAAGGCCAGTGGTGCAGGAGAGAGCGCAGTGTAGGCTCCCTTTTGGCGACCTCCCCCATCATCCTCAGGGAGACCCCCTATTTCCCCAGGTTGGGGGTGCATTGCCCTCCCATGCAGGGCCACCAGGTACATGGCGGGGCAGTGTGTTTTGGGGTGACTCATGTTGGAAGCAAAGTAAATAAACATACTTCACCTCACCTCCATACTGGGAAGGGAGGAGGCTGGGAACTGAGAAGCCTCAGTTCCTGAAGGTGGATGTGGTCCAGAACTCCTGGGTCCTGACAGAGCAGAGGCCTCAGGGCCTGGACTCTTGGGTCTGAGGGACAAGGGGCTGGGGGCCTGAACTCTGGTTCCTAACAGAGGAGGGAGAGGTGGCTCGGATTCCTGGGTCGGAGGGAGGGCTGGGGTCCAGATTCTTGGGTTAGGCTGAGTGGAGGAGGGGTCCTGGGATTCCTGACTGCTCAGTTCATGAGGAGTGAAAGAGCTGGGGACTTGGCTGCCTGAGTCACCAAAATGTCCCTGTAACAGGCCTGGCGGGATTGGAGGTGACTCAGTGAGGGAAGCAGTGTTTGAGCCGGGTGGGGTTCCCAGCACAGGTATCACCCCAAAAATGTAGGAGGTACTGGAAAATTGGGGTGTCACCTGCAGAGAAGGTAGTGTTGTCACTCCACTGGGTATTGGTATGGGGTGATGTCAGGTGGATCACCCTGTTGGCTTGGGATCCCAGCTTTCCCTCTACTTCCTGATCCAACACCCCAGGACCCAAGCCTTGGTGTCCTGGCACCACCCAGATGGCTTGCTGTCGTCGCCCTCAGTCTGTGTGCAGCACTCTGCAGCCACCCTGGAGCCTGAGCATCTTGGGGGTCTGCCCTCTCCACCTCTCATGTCCCTGTCCCTATCTCTGCATCTCTGTCTCTCCAGCTCTGAACCTCTAGTGTCTCTGTCTCCCATCTCCACATCTCTGTCTCTCCAGCTCTGAACCTTTCTTTCTTTATCTCTGCTAATCTGTTTCCTAATTTCTCTGGTTCTCTGTCTTCCCAGCTCTGAATCTCTCTCCTCCTCCCAAGTTCTGTGTCCCTTGCCCTTACCCTGGGGTATCTGTCTCCTAGCCCAGCATCCTGCCCGCCATCTGCAGGCCGGCCCTGGCTCCCAGCCATCCAGCCCAGGGGCTGCAGGTGACTCAGGGCCAGGCATCTCTGAGGACCCCAGGACTCCCAGGATGACAACCTGAGCTGTCCTCAAGTTCTCTTTCCCCACTCTGACGCAGCCTGGGGGCGGCGATTAGGTACAGCAACTCATCTGGATGAACTGGGGAAGCTGTGAGGTGGCCTGCTTGGGGGTGAGGAGAGCTGTGAGCAGGAAGAGGAGGGGCCTGGGGGCTGGGGAGGGACCATGGCAGCATCTCCAGGCATCTGACTTCTGTCCACCTCAAATAGGGTTGCCAGATAAAACACAGGACACCTGGTTACATTTGAATTTCAGATAAACAACAAATACTCTTTTTAGTTATTTATCTGAAATTCAAATTTAACTGCGCATTCTGTATTTTTACTTGCTAAATCTGAAGCCTTACTTTCAAAGGCAGAGGAATCCAAATCCCTGGTCCCTCTCTTCCCTGAACCCAGGATTCTGGTCCCCCAGCCCTCCCTCCTCAGGACCTGAGACTCCAGGTCCCGATCCCCCTTTCTCTCTCCCCTAGAATCCACAGAAGGGGCTCACAGGCCCTGGATCCTTGAAACTCAGGAGTCCAGCCTCCCATCCCTTTTCTCCCCAGAATCCAGGAGTCCGAGTCAGCTCTGCAGCCCGTTGCCCAATGTGGATTGCACAAGGTGGGTGGTGCCATTCATGGCCCTGGTGGAACCAGTTGGGCTGAGCTGGCAAGTGAGGCGCCCCCTTCCCATCCTAAGCCTGCCTCTTCCTTGAGGGCCGGCCCAGCGGGGCTAAGCGGGGAACTGGAGGGACCTGGGCAGGGACTTGGGGACTTGGGTGGGTCACAGAGTCTGGGTTTGGGTGTGTTGTGTGTCTGTCTGGATGCTTGCTGTGTGTCGGTGGGGATTGTCACGTGTCTCTCTTTCTGTGTTCCTGTGTTTGGGGTGTGAAATGTGAGGGGGTCTTTTCCATTTGTTTGCCCATATTGCCCTCCTTCAATCTACCCACTGTGCACCTGTGTTTGGGTATGGTTCCAGTTGTAATAGGTCTGTAGTTCTGACAGGATTAAGGCAGGGATTAGTTATTGAGTAGTGGCCTTGTGAGATGGACTCCAGAGCCAGAAACCCTGAGTTCAAATCCCAACGGCATCTTTCTTGCTGGGAAACCTTGGGCCAGTCACTAAACTTCCTTGGACCTCAATTTTTTCCATCTGCAAAATGGGTTGTTGCAAATAGAGCTGTTGAGAGGACTGAGGGAGTTAATTCATGTAAAGTCCTTAAAATTGTGCTTGGGATGTGGTAAAATTTTGTGTTTTTGGTGATGATGACCATGTGCTATTTTAGTTCCTGGAGGTACAATAGTGGATGAAACCAAGTCTTTGCTTGTGGTCCCAGTAGGCACTGAATAAGTGGCCTCTCAGTGGCTGGGCATATAGTTGCTTACCTGGGCTGTCTCTCTTGAATGTGGGATAGATATTGCTGTGTGTGTTAGCGTGGATGCTTCAAGTCTGCGACTGTGTGCTTTTGTTTATGTTTGTGTTCATAGGTGGTTATATGTGGTGTGTGTGTGATTCTCTCATTGTGAGGGTGCAAAGGCAAGGTCACACCGAGCAGGTGTGAGGGCGTGTGTTGGGGTGATCTCACGTGACTCTGAGGTGCCAGGAGTGCGTCTGGATTTGGGATCTTGAGAACTCCTCTCTCAGCTTCTCCTTTACATATTCCACAGGTGACCCTGGGAGGGTGACTTCCTCCAGAATGGGCCTTGGTTTCTCCCTTAGGGGGATGGTGGGCCCAGTGGCAACTGAAGAAACATGAGGGTGAAAGGGAAGGTGCAGGGAGACAGGTGAGGCCAGGGAGAGGCTGGGAAATGCAGTGGGGACACACAGATGGTGGGATGAGGACGGAGGAAGAGCTGCACAGAGAGATGTGGATGCTCCTCCATCGTTCCCTAAGCACTTGCGGAGCCCTTGCAGCGTGCCAGGACCTCTGGCAGGCATTGGATCAGGGTAGAGATCCCCAGAGAGATGAAGACCCGCCGAGAAAGCTGTTGCTGCCCTAGAGTGGCCCACCTGTCTCCATGACAGACAGTGACAGGTCTGAGTGATGGCGATGCAGTGATGGAGAGGGACAGAGAAGCCCTGCGCCATCCCCCTCACCCCTGTCCAGATCAAAGAACAGAGGCCTTGGGGAAAATGCCCCTCCCAAGCTGGGGGCACCCCCATGAATCCTGTTATCATCTCCTAGGGATCTCCTCATCTTCTTCTCATAGGATGATACACACCTGCCCCCTCCTAACCACTGTTTTTGACCTCAACCGGCTCAACGCCCTTAGTGAGAAGTGCTTGAACAAGCCTGGTATATTGGAAGCAAGGGAGGAAATCCCTGAGAGTGTCTGTCCTTGGCCCTACCTTCCCCAGGCCCCAGGAGTCCCAGGTCTCAGCGCCCCCACCCCAACCCAGGGCTCCCAGGTCCCAGCGCCCCCCACCCCAACCCAGGGGTCCCAGGTCTCCCTCTCCTTTGTTTGCTCCCTACTACACTCTGTTTTGGTCTCCCTGTATCTTTACATCTATATCTTGATTCTCCCTCACTGGGTGTCAATTTTTCTCACTTGTAAAATAGGAATTATAATAATCATAAACCAGTTTCTTAGAACTGTTATGAGGAAAACACGTGATAATTATACAGAATGCTTAACATAGAACCTGGGCCACAATAAACTTCATACAAGAGTACTCTATTTTCATTTTGTTTTAAATATTTTAATCTATTGGTCTCTGTGTTTTTCTCTTTACCTCCGCGTGAGCTGCAAGTCTCCTCCCGCCCTGGGTTTCTTCTGCACCCTGCCCGTGGCTTCTCTTTTAGGGGTGAGAAAAGGGCATACAGGGGCCAGAGCTTCCTCTAAATCTCTTCCTCTTCCTTTCTATTCCAGGCCCCGCCTCAGGACCCAGAACTCTTGCCTGGGGATAAAGCCTGGCTCCAATCCTATAAATAGCCACGAAAAGTCTTGAACCTCAAATATGTCATCCCTGGCAGGCCAGCGACTCTTGGGATCCAGAAGTCTCTGTCCCTAGACCCCGACCCTACAAGTTCCTAGCTCCTTCCTCCAAGACCCAAGTGTCCAGGCTCTCAGATCCAGCAGTCTGGGTTCCTCGGCCGCTCCTCTCTCAGGTCCTCAGTCCCTTCCTCCCTTCGGAACCGAAGGATCGAGCCAGCCAACAGCCAGGTACATCGCTCCCTTCTGCAATACACCACGCCCTCAGCCACCTCCAGCGTCTGCATTTCCAGGGGCGGGTCCGATTTGGGAGCGCGCCTCTAGATTCTAGTTGTGATAAGCTACTGCTGACGTCAGTCAATATTTTCCAGCCAATAGACACTCCGACTCCTACCTCCCAGGGCTACTCTCGGTGCTTTTCCCTGATAGGCCCCCCCACAGCCCAAGGCGGACAGCGATAGGCTTCTGAAGACGCTAGTTTTGGCCAGTCCCGGCCAGTCTGCCAATAGGCCGGCGCCTGCGGAGTGCAGCTCGCGGTCCGCTTCGTCGAGGCTGGAGCGCTAACGAGGCAGCAGGCTCGGCGGGTCCGGCCGGGTAAGCCGTTTCCAGCACGCCCAGTGTTGGGATTCCGAACATAGCTTGGACGGGGAACGGTGAGGTTTGATGAGGCGGAATGGGGAGCTTAGCTGGGATGACCGTCCATTTTGCCATGTTGGAGAAACTGGCCGGGATGCCTTCTCAGGTAGTCATCCATTCATTCCATTCCTCCACCCGATTCTCGTCAGCTGCGACCTGCCCTGCTCACCTGTCCGTTCGGTCCTTCCAGCCCTCATTCCCTCAGTCCCGTATTTCCTCATAGAGCCATTCACTCACACTCGCTCATTTACACACTCACCCACCCATTACTCAGACGTGTCCTGAGGCTTCCGGTGTGCCAGGCCTCCTGCTGGGCGATGGTGGTGACCAAGATGAGTCACCACCTCAAGGTCCAGGGTCAGATGGATGGGCAGACCCACACATTGATCGGGAGGAGTGTGCAGAGGTAGGGGAGTCCGGGAGAGGGTTTTTTTGGGTCTGGCGGGTCAGGAAAGGGTTTCCAGAGGAGGGGCCATTGGGGCTGGATTTTGGAGAGCAGGAGGTGCCGTGAAGAAGAGTATATGGGGTGTTTCAGCCTGAGCAAAGAACGGAGGCATACAGGAGGATACTGTGTGTGGGTGGCCAAGAGGCAGGCCAGTCAGGTCCATGTTGTGGTGAGGGAACTGTAAGGCTGAAAGAGGATGAAGAGGTGGGAAGAGGCCAGGCTGAGGAGGTTGGACTTTGTCCTGGGGAAAGGTAAAGCAGGAGACAGAACTGGAGAAATGAGACAGGAAGCCAGTATCCCAGAAGGTGGCTTGGGCTAGGACCCAGGCAGGAGAAGATGGGTTAAGCCAGGGGCAGAAGAGATAAGGCAGAGATTCAGGGGGCATAAATAACATAATATGGGGTCTGATCGGCCATGGGATGAGGGGGTATACAGGACAAGACCCAGGGCTCTGGTCTGGGGGACTGGGGTGTAATGGAGCCACCCAAGATGGAAACAGGAAAGAGGTGCAAGTTGATGGGTGGATGACTGGTAGAGATGAACAAGGGGTCCTATGAGCTGGACAGGGGGAGCTGTGATTCAAGCCAGGGGGTCTGGACTTTCAGGGAGAGTTCTGGGCTATGGCTTCCTCCCCATCACAGGTCCTGACTCAGAAGTCACTTGGGTGAATGAGGCCCTCTGAGGCGAGGGTTCCCCTCTGTCCACCCCCTCGGGAAACTTCTGTGCTTCTGCATCTTCAGTCTTACCCTCCTTTCCTTCTCTAGCAGCATCGAAACATGTTTTGACATCTCTAAACACATATACACTCACAAACCACACCCCACATCAAGCTCCTTTGAATAATTTCTCATCCTTTTTACAGCAAAAGACTTGTGGCACCCACTGGCTCGATCTGTTACCTTCCACTCCCTCTTCAACCTTCATCTGGCTGCCCACCTTACGTGGCCCCGCAGTGGCCCTGGATGTACCTGCACATTGCTGAGGCCTGAGGATAACATTTCTGTCCTCATCTGGCCCAGACCACTCCCTCCCACGTGAAATCCCCTTTGCTTTACATCCTCTTCTTTCCTGGTTAGCTTATTCCTTCTTCAGCTGCTCCTTAGAACCCTTCAGGACTCAGCCTTTCAGTGCCTGCCCCTGTATGGGGCCATTGTCCTTGGGGCTCTCTCTCTCCTCCCTCTGTCGTCCCCCCATCCATTCCTCTGAGGCACTAGTTCTAGAAGTGAGCACCTAGCTTGCTCTCTTGCATGTTCCCCAGATTGTCTCACAAAAAACCTTTTGATTTCTCCGTGTGCAATACAGCCCTCGGCACCTCCCATCCCCCTTGTACACACCTGAGCCTCCTGCTAGTAAAGAGACAGGCTCACTGTCCACCTGCTGCCCTGGCCGGACCTGAGTGTCATCTTTGTCCCTTTGTTGTCCTGTAACCTCTGCTCCACCCTCAGTAAGTTCTATTCACAACCTCAGTTCTGGCTCTGGGATCTGCTCCACCTCTATCCCTACTCCTTATCCATGAGGCCTCTGCCCTAGCTCAGGCCATGTCCCCAGCCTCCTCCATTGCCTCCCGGCTCCAGTCTAGACCTTTTCAGTCCTTCCCCCACTGTCCCAGCCGGCTCTCTCAGTCCTGTCCCTCTCCTGCTCAAAGCCCTTCTGTAAGCTTCCACTATCCTCCAGTTATAATACAAATTGCACACCAGGCCCTTTGTGATCCATTCCTGCTGACCACTCCAGGCCCCTCAGGCCACTCCCGACTTTGCACCTGACCTTCTGGCCAGGCACAGGCTTTGATCACTGCCCATTTTCTCTCACAACTTTGAATGTTTTTTCTGCCTAGCAAACTTGTGCTCATCCTTTTAAGTCAATCTCAGATCACCTCCTCTGCGAAGCCCTCTTTGACCACCATAGATGGAGCCCATGGTGGTGGTGACAGCCTGGTCTGGGTTTGTTTCCTCACCCTCCCTGAGTTCCTGAGGGCAGGCCCTAGGGAGAAATCATCTGCTCCAAACCCAGGGTCTGCAAAAGGGTGAAGTATCAGAATCTTGGTTAAGGGACTGAGTGATGGCTGTAGCTGGGCAGAACTTAGACTTCCAGGATTTGGGGTGACCAGTTTGTTTCTGGTTTCTTGTTAGCTTTGCTCCAGTTCTCTAGGGAGTGGGGTTTTCTTTTCCTGGAGGGTGCTGGGACTGGGTTTACAGAGGGGAGTAGCAGAGGACCCAGAGTCCTCTGGCACCAGACCCGGATTAAGTCTGAGGGGAAGGTGGGTCTGTGTTAGTCGAGGAGCACGGTCTCAGCACCCAAGAATCCTGGCCCGCAGGCGAGAACTCTCCTTGCTCAGGACCCAGAAGTTGGGCCCCCAGCCTTACACTGTCCAGTCCTAGGTTTCTCGGGGCTCAGCAGCAGAGTCCGATGCTGCCCCCTGGTGGGCAAACCCTCATACTACTTGCGAGAGGCCAAACTAATTAAATACTTTTATTTACAAACAAACAAAAACAAACCCACCGGCAAGGTAGGGCCAGGGCCCGGCCCCTGCGGCGGTAGTAGCAGCAGTAGCAGACGGCGGTGGTGGAGCGCAGGCCCAGCTGACCCAGAGGCTGGTTGGTGCGCGCCCCCCACCCCAAGCCAGGGTCTCGGCTTTCGGCCCCGCCTCCTTTGCTGTACCCCGACTTAAGGTATAACCTGTTCCCTTCCCACCCGGCCCCAGGGACAGGTCGGATGGGCCAGGAACCCCTAGCCGGGGTCCCACCGCCCGGGACCTGGCGCGCATTCACCACGGAAGCCCGCTGAGATGGGAACAAGAGGCCTTTAGTGTCTCCCCCCGCGGCCCCCACGTCTCCGCGCTGCCCGGCTCAGATCGGGGGCGGGGCGGGCGCGGCGGTGCCGGGTGGAGTGAGGATCAGGCGGATGCGCTCCACGCACAGAGCGGCGGCCTGCCGCGTCTCCCGGCACAGCGCCGCCAGGCTCAGGAAGCCATGCGGCAGGTCCTCCACCACGCGCAGCGTCACGCGCTTGTCCAGGCTGCGGAGCCGCCGCGCGAACATGACCGAGTCGTCCAGCATGGGGTCCAGCGCGCACGCCTGCGGGAGGGCGCGGGTGGGGCACAGGGACCAGGCGGTTGGAGACATCGGGGGTGGGGGTGGAAGTTGGGGAATGAGCTTATCTGGTCTCTGCCCAGCTTCAACTTTCTCCCAGAGACCCACCGTGCCTTTTCCCCTTCCCCAACTCTCCAAGCCCAGGGGCCACCCCCAATGCCCTTTGGTGTTCAACAAGACTGCCAAATAAATGAGAGCCCTGACTGCTTTGCGTCTTCCCATAGCCAGGAAATACCTTCTGGAGGCCCACCTCGCCCTTCTGGCTGGGCTACCCACTTTTTCCAGCTCTGCTTTTGTGAGCTCTCTTCCCCAGGTGCACCTGCGCCCCACCCGCCACACTCTTTGCCCGTTTGGTGCTCACCACGATGTGCACGGGCGGCAGGCTCTGCAGCATGCTGTCAGGTGCCAGCAGCGGTGACATAAAGGGATTCTTGGAGATGGGTGATGAGTAGAGGGGCATCCGCATGGCACCCTGGCTCGATCGCCTTGGGTGGAAGCCTTCAGGAAAGGCGATACCCCCGCCATGGGCTTTGTCCTTGGTGCTCTGCTCACCTCGGACCTCAGCCTCCTCAGATGCATCCTCAGACCGCAGTAAGAAGCTGACGTCAGAGGGCGTGGAGGGGCCAAGTGTCTCCCCAGACAGTGACAACTCTGGGGTGTCAGTTGTCTTGGAGCTGCCCCTTAGGCTCAGGTCATGCAGGGTCAGGTTCTTAAGGGAGTCGGTGCCCAGTGGGGTCTCAGGCTGGGCCAGCGCTGCCTCTGACACGCTGCGTCGCATTGGCTCTGCGAGAGGAGCAGGGTCAGGGAGTGAGCTGGGGCGATGGATCTGCCTGACTGGTTGGTTGGGTGTGTGGGTAGCTCAGGAAAGTTCATGGGAAGGGCAGTGGCCTCTGGCGGAGGAGCTGCATCCTAGGGCTGTGGAGGCCTGGTGTGTTCCCCCAGACTCCCTCCTTGGGGGTGGGTGGGGAGCTCCAAGTGCCCCAGGCTGCAACTCCAAGGGGGAGGTGGCAGGAGTCACATGGTTATGGAGGTGGAGGTGTCCCAGTGAAAAGGTGGACATGTGTGTGTGGCTGTCTATGTGTGTGGTGACTGGGAAGGTTAAGTGTAGTCAGTTTGCTTCTGGGAGCCTTGGTTTCCTCCTCTGTAAAAAGGGGGAATCAATCCTATCCTTACCACCATAGGAGGTGGAGAGGACTCAGGGGGGTTAGGTATTGCTACCCCGAGGTCATAATATATCAGTATTACCAGGCCTGGTGCCCTGTTCAGTCATTTCCCTGGCCTCAGCACAAGGTCCAGCCAGCTTTGTCTGGCCACTTGACACAGAGGTTGTGAATGGATCAAAGTGGAGTAATGAGTAGGTCCGCATGGCGTGAAAGGAGGCTCTGTTCACAGCAAGCTAAAACGTCTGGGGGGCCTATTTGGTTCCCAGAGGTCCCACATCTGTAGCCACATAGATCTGCTTCCCAAATTGCCTTCATGTTCCTCAGCTTTATCCCTTCCCTGTGAGTGACCAGGCAAGCAAGTGCCCAAATGCCAAGGGAGTGCTTCCAGCCCACCCGGTGTGCCCACTTTGGCCTCAGCTCCATTACATATATCAGAGCCACTGCTTACCCCTTGGGCCAGGATGCTATGTTTTTCAGTTTTTCACTTGTCTTCATAAATCCATGAAGGTAAAAAGCATGATATGAGTATAACTGTGTAAGTGCTCTGTGACCCAGATGGCCACTGGGGTAGACTGTTAACTCAGAGGCATAGGGCACAGCTCTTCAGGGGCGCCAGCTTGCTCAGGAAGTACCTGCCGGGCAGCTTTGTATAGGGTGCTTGGCACCAGTAAGTATGTGAAGTACTTACAACCATCTTATGAGGCAGGTACTCTTATTGTGCCCATTTCACAGAGGAGCAAAGCAAGGCTCACAGATACTATTACTTGCCACGTCACTCAGCAACCAGCAAGTACCTAAAACAATAGGGAGCTTGACTGGTGCTGCACTTGTTACCTTTATCCTATAAGGAAAATCCCAGTGCTCGATGGTCCGTGTGCCTAAAATTCAAATCTCTTTTAATTGGTTTCGTGTGTATTTATCTGCTTCCATTTGAATATCCTAAAATTAAAAGTTTAACTTAAAATATATTCAACGGGAATAATTTTCTGAATAATAGGGACTCCATCTACTTTTGAACATGCAATCACAATTACTCAGAAAATACTCTTGGTTTGCCCTAGATAGAAAATGAGTTGGTTGTACTTTAAAATCCTTAAATGTTAAAAAATGGTGGGAAAAAAACGGATCCCTGGATGGAAGTGATTTTGGGCTGCCTAAGGGTCCTGCCACCCACCCATGGTTGGGATTCTCCTCTACTTCTTGAGGCCTGTTCAGTGTGCTGGTGCCCCCACCAAACTCCTAGGCCAGCCCCTGGAGTGGGTATTACCCCATTTGCCTCTGTTAGAAGTCTGGAAAGAATCTAGGATGGCTGGAATCCCTCCTGATGGGGCTGGTGCGGCGGGACACAGCCGCCCTCTTGCGAGACCCTTGGCATTCTTGGGACTAAAAACTAGGACATGTGGCAGTTCTGGGTTCTGAAAAGTCTGACTCCTTTCCCAGGGTGCCTTTCAGAGAGAGGCTGTTTGGGAAGCTATATCCTATAGTTCCTGGGACCGTGAGATGACCTGGGGTACCAGAAGTCCTGGAATTTCTAGGATGTGGACTGTTGTGGGAAATCCAGGCTTTGTGGTAGAGACCAGGATCGAAAGGGGGCAGAGTACCCCTTGAGTGCCTGGTCCCTGAGTGTCCCAGGGCATAGCCCCTTTCCTGAATGGGTGTGCTAGGGGAGGGCTTCACTCACCTGCCACAGGCACTGAGTTTGTTTGGGACTTCTGCCTACTCAGCTCCAGGAAGGAGTTGAGCCATGAGGAGGCTCCCAGGCGGAGGTCTCGCAAGAGGGCGGCTGTGTCCCGCCGCACCAGCCCCATCATGCCCAGTGCCTTCTGATTGGAGTCGGAGTCGTCCTCTGTCTCCCCACCTGTGGAGTGTATGTGGGGGCTGAGTTGGTCTCTTCCCTTTCTAGGCCCAGTCTCAACACCCAGAGCTTCAGGCATCTGTGCTCCCAGGGACCCGAGAGTATCTGATCACTTCAGGAGGAACAAGCAGTCTGAGATTCCTTTCCTTAGCCTCTCCCCAGTTTGGGAGCCCCTCTCCCTAACTCTCTGCAGGACCTGGGCATCCACATACCTCCAGGCCCCAGCTCTGGGGCAGGGTAGGTGGCTGGGGGTCGCTTACCAGCATAGGCACTGACACACTTGGAGAGCACGCTGAGGGGCAGCAGCGGGTCCATGAGGCTCAGAAGGCGGGAGGGGGAGACTGTAGGCTGCAGCATTGTGGCCGGGTAAGCTGCCATGATGCCATCGGGCACCCGCACCCCGTAGGCTGCTGCCCGAAGGGACACAGTGAAGCAGAGGTTCCCACCTGCGCTGTCCCCTGCGAGGCATATCCGCTCCCCAGTTGAGCCTGGTTTGGAGGGGGGCTTGGTCATGCCTGGCAGGGAGGAGCTCGAGCTCTGGGCCAGGAGCACTGGGCTCTCACAGGTGGCGTGTGAGGGCCTCAACCCTAAAGTCTAGCCTAGTGTAATTTTAGAGACTGATAAACTGAGGTAGGGATTTAGACCCACTTGGGGGTTCATGGTCAGGGAATCAGGCTGACTGAGGACATGGAGAAGCCCAGAGATGAGGAAGCTCTGGGAAAGTTTGAGGGGCTGAGGTCAGAAACAAGGAAGACTGGCAGAGGGAAAGGCGAGACCAAGGGCCCATTTCAGGAGGGCAGAGCATCTGCGGCCAGGAGATAGAGGCCCCCCACCCCCGCACTGCTCTAGGCCTCCCAAGGGGTGGGGAGTGGTAGGTCAGAGGAGCCAGAAGAATGGGTGGGATGGGTCAGGAAGCTGGTGGTGCAGGCAGCAGCGGTTGCAGAAGCAGGTGGAAGAAAGAAAAGGCCAGAAGAGATGGGAGGTATAGGGGGTGGTGTGTCAGGGCTGGAGTGGAGGAGAGGAGGCAGGAGGAGGAAGTGGTTGAGATGAAGATCTGGGGAGCAGCGGGGCCTGGGGAAAGTGCTGAAGCAGAGCTGGAGGAGCAGGGCAGGGGTGCAAACCAGTGGCAGAGGGCTGAGTGGTAGGGCATGGAAGGGGAGGCAGGTGCAAGGGTGGGGTCTGAGCAACTAGATGGCGCACCCCCCGCAGTCTGGCTTGGGGGCTTTATCAGGCTGGGGCTGGGGTGGGGAACGGGTGGCAGTGAGGGCTGGGCTCACCCAGGAAGGCGCAGTGCTTGATGGCCCAGCAGTAGGCGTAGAAACACTCCTCCAGCGCGCGGGGGAAGGGGGCCTCGGGGGCCAGGGAGTAGTCGATGGAGAGGATGGGGACACCCAGCTCCTGGGCCCAGCTCTTGAGGTAGGGCTCATGGGACTTGGAGGTCTGGGCCACAAAGCCGCCACCGTGGATATGCACTATCAGGGAAGGTGAGCGGGGTGCCTGCTGGGGCCGTGGCCGAAGCTCCAGGCTCCACGGACCCTCGGACTTCACCAGGCTGCTGAGCTCCTCGCTGTTCTGGCGGGTGAGGGAGGAGGATGCGAGTGAGGCTGCAGTGGCCAGCCGGGGCCTCACCCCACCAAGGGCATGTGCTCAGAGAGACAGGATGGGGGCGGGGCAGTGGTGGCATCTGGTAGGAGGACTGTCTGTGCCCCTCGGCTCCGGCTCCGTACTTGTTCCTGGCAGAGGCAGGGAGGGGCCCTACCTGTCCTTCACGCAGGTCATAGGAGATGAGCCTGACGAGGATGGGCCCGGGGCCTGTGTGGGCCAGCGGGGGTGAGATGGTGACCATGAGCTTGGGGTCAGCAGTCAGTGGCATTTCAAAGGCCTTGGGTGGCAGGCTGAGCAGGCGGCTCACCCTCACAGTGGCTGATGCCATGTTTGCTAGAGACTGGTGGGAGGGAACAGAAGGGGTGCTGGTGAGGGACTATTCATGGGGGTTCCCTTCCCTTCCCAGTCGTTTCCCTCATGTGCTGTCCCTGAGCGTAGAACCCTACAGAGGCCTGATGTGGGTCTCTGGGCCTCTGTGTCCCCATCCTGTGACAGGTTGGGGCCTTCACAGGGCCCCATGCTCACCGATAACACCTCAATCTCAGTGATATTCCAGAAAGCTTTCCAGAAGTGCACGTCTAGGTTCTGTATGATCCGTTCAAACTCGGTCCCACGCAGCTCTGGATCGATGGCAAAGCGGCCACTGGTGAACAGGGAGCTGGCGGTCACACCTGGGTGTTGGGGGTGGTGTCAGCTCAAGTTGCCAGGACAGGGGCAGGAAGGAGGGACAGGAGGGAAAGTGAGGCAACCGGCCGGCCCAGCCAGGACTCACCGAGGCCCGTTTCATTGCGTTTGTAGTGTTCCCCGAAGGACACCAGCCCAATGGAGATGGTCTGCAGGAACGGCCGGATGGCGGGTGTGAACTGTGGAGAGAGGCTGCTGGGTCACCAGCCACCAGGAGAGGCACCCGGAGCAGGCGGGAATGAGGGTCAGAGACATGAGGGGGACGCGGTCATTCAGCAGACAGTGGGCTCCTCCTGGGTGTCAGACACTGTTCTGGGCACCCTCATGGAGCTGATGTTGTCAAAGGGAAGACACAGTATGCACTCGAAGACAGTAGGTGAAGGGGACACGAGTGGTGACTAGGGGTCAGGCTAGTTAGACGGGTCTCCAGGAGGGGACGTGAGGATGTATCCATGACTCGAGTGCAGACTGTTCCCTTCAGAGGGTGCAGCAAGCACAAAGGCTCTGAGGTGGCCTGAGCTTGGCATGGATAATGTGCATGGCTGTAGTGGGAGTGAGCCAGGGGAGAGGGGCAGAGGGTGAGAGACGCCAAGGGGGCTCACGTAGGGCCTGAGGAATTTGCATTTCTTCCAAATGGGGGTGGAACCATAGAGGGTGGTGAGTTGTAAGATGACATGGATTTCCTGAAAGTCAGCGATAACAGAGCTCTGATGCCAGACAGGCAGTGGGGACCGGTTATGGGGCAGCAGGAAGACAGATGGGAGATGGTCAGAGACAGACAGGGCCAAGGACCTTGAGTCAGAAAGACAGCCAAATGGGGAGACACAAAGTCTGAGAGAGAAGCCAGGCATCTAAGAAAAGACAATGGGGAGACAAGATCAGAGAAAAAAAGCCACAGGAGGCTGGGCAAGGGGCCAGCCAGGTTCTTCCATTCACTCAGCAAATACTGGCTGAGCTCCTACTGCATGCTAGGCATTGAGCTGGAGCAGGGGCTGAGTGGGCCCCGGACAGGAGTGACCTCTGCCTTCCTGGGGCTGGCATTTTAGAGGAAGACTGTCATGCAACACAGCACAATTGGGCCTTCAGAGAGTAGCTGTCAGGCGTGGCCCCTGACTGGGAGCCCAGTGGGCCAGAGAGCACAGGGATGCCTGGCTACTGTGGCTGGGATTCTGGCCTGGGTGGCCCCAGGATCTCTCTCCTGGGACTCCAAGGTCACAGCCAGGACACAGGAAAGAGCCAGCTGGCCCAGCTGGGCTGATCAATACTTGTGGGTTCAGCTTAGGTGAGAGGAAGTTCCCGGGAACACCCAGGCTGGGTTGGTGAGGACAGCCTGCCCCACGGGTAAGCATGGAAAGCTGGGTGGGATGGAGGCGGAGACACTGCTCAGCTTAGTTACCACAGAGGTGGGTGAGGCCCAGAGAGGGTCTGAAGGGCTACAGAGTCATACAGCTCGATAACCCTGCTGGGGTTCCCTGATGTAGCTGGGGATGGGGGGACCTGCCACTGTCCCCAGATGGGGGCAAGTCAGGCCTCGGCTCTGAGTCTGGTGGCCAAATGACCCTCCGGTTTCCTGAGTCTCCACCCTCTTTCCCTTTGAGTCCAAGGCCTTGGGCTGCCTCCCTTTCAGTGCTGAGATGAGCTGTGCCTCCCTGACGGTGGTTTGGGGGTGGGCAGAGAGTGAGAGAAGGCCTGTAGCTGGATGTCAGTGCCCTGGTTCATGGAGGAGAGGGCCACTATCACCAACTCAGATTCCCTCCTTGGAATCTTGATTCTATAGTCTGAAAACCTTGATTCTATAGTTCCTTAGGTGAGTCAAAAAGCCCGGGCAGACCTGGGTCCAATTGAGCAGCTGTGGGGCCCCCTCCCCTTGAAAATCTGTACAATGGCAATAGCACCCTCCCTCCCCCCCAGGCCTCTGGCACAGATGACCAAATGGGGCATGCTTTTTACAAATGGGCCTTTGAGAACAATACTGACTACCCTCCCAGGGGCTCTCTAACTCAAATGACTTCAGGGGCTAGACAGGTCACATAAAAGAGTGAATGTGTCTCTTGAGCACGGATGATAGAGAGCAGTGGGGATCCTGGTGCAAAAAGCTGCCAAGATTTCTTACCACGTGGCAGATTGGAGACCCTGGTGTGGCTCTCTCTAGGCTTCAGCTTCCCCTGTCTGCTGTTTTCTGAATCTAGTAAGGCTGACCATTGTGGTTATTCTACTATACCATCAGGTCAGGTCAGGGCCCCCTGGCGCCTTCACTGTGGGCCCAGAGGGGCAGGGGAGGGGGCTCACCTGGAAGCCCAGGCAGCGGCCATAGAAGCAGCCCTTGTGCAGAGTGACGTACTCACGCAGGAAGTCAGCAGTGAGCCCCTCATCTCCCTCGAAGAAGAGCCCTCCTGGCTGGTTGGCGGCCAGCAGGTGCTGGGCATAGTAGGCCAGAGCACGGAGCTGGGTGAGGGCAGCCAGGTAGGCCTCGAGTTCAGCCAGGTTGTGGCTGGTGCGGAAGAAGATGCTGCGGCGGTTGGCAGCCACATAGCGGGATTTGTGCAGCAGGTGTGCCAGGCAGCAGCGGGCTGTGTGCACCAGGCTGCGGTACCCATTGGCAGGAGTCTCTGCATCCAGGTCAAAGAGGTGCGCCACGCCTAGCAGGCGGCCCAGGAGTGGCTCCAGCCCCAGCGCCTGTTCCCGAACACCCTCAAAGACGCCTGACAGCCGCCTTGCTGTCTCCCCAGGGCCCTGGCTCGAGAAGAAGGCCATGTTGTCCTCTGCCAGAGTCACCAGTGACTGGGTCATTGTGCGCAGATCCATGCTGTGTGTGAGCCGCGAGGCTGCGGGCAGGTGGGGAGGCCTGTTAGGCAGGGCTGGATCTCCCCTTGCTCAGCTGGGAGTGCAGGAGTCCAGGCTCTCCTCCCCTCCTCCGGCAGACCCACATCCGGCCCCAGCCTCCTGCTTCAGACCCAAGGGTGGAGTCTAGGGCCCCATCACCTGCCTTCCATAGGACCCACAATCCAGGTACCCAGACCCTTTCTCACTTGCCAAGAGCCAGGAGTTTGATCCCTCTGCCCCTTCTCCCTCAGCCCCAGATCCCTCTTCTCCAGGCTCAGGAGCCCCCGCTCGCTCCTATTTGGGACTCTTACTGGCTTCCTAGCTCCAGCATCTCTCCTGCAACCCAGGAGCCTACCTACCCCTCTTTCTTCCTTCAGGAATTCAGGCATCTGCCTTTATTTACTCCCCTAGGGTTCAAGACTCCTAGGTTCTGAGAAGCTAGACCCCATCCCAGGACCCAGGAGTTCAGGACCCCATTCTCCCTCCTTCTCAGGCCCCAGGCATTGCCCACAGGCCCTTCCACTCCACCAATATTTGGAAGAGTTCAGCCCTCAGCCTGCCCATTCCCATCTACCTGGTGGTGTTCCCAGCATTCTGGTCCCAAGCCCAATTCTCTTCCTGAACCCAGGAGCTTATAATTCTAGCCTTACTTAAAACTGAGGAGTCACTCCTGCCCCCTCCAGGTTTCTCATGTGGCTGTGGGACCCCCTCCAAACTCCAGTTCTCTCCCTGGTCCTCCATGGGATCCCCAAAACTCAGTCCCACTGCTGGGCCCCCTGGCCTTTGGGCCTGTCCACTTGGCTCCGACTGCACAGGCCAGCCTGCTCCGCTGCCTGGAGCAGCACTACTCATCACTGCCTTTAACCTTGAGTGCACTGCGCCAGACCCGTGCTAAGAGCTTTCTATGTGTTTGCTCATTTAGTCCTTGCTAACCCTGCGAGGCCCAGACTGCCTTGGTTCATGTTTCAACTATTATTGGCGGCATCCCCATTTTACAGGAGAGGAAACTGAGGCTCAGAGGCATTAAGTAAGGAGCTGAAGGTTGCACTGCAAGTGGCAGAGCAGAATTCAGGCCCCGGCCTCTGGCTGCAGTGCTGTTACTTATGCTAGTCTTCCTTCTGGGGCTCTGGAGACTGGGCCTCTGGCTCTCACCCTCAAATACTTGCCTTGGATTAGGCCTGACTCCCCACACTTCAGAGTCCCTAGTGATCTTCTCTCTAGGATCCCTGTCCTGATCTCAGGTCCTGGACAAGCTGCCCTGCGCCCTTTGGTGGGGATGCTGCCCTCTGCACCAGTGACCCTTCCCTCCTGAAGCCCACCCAGCACCTTGCCTGGCTCCTGGGCCGATGGTGCTCTGATCCCCTGGAAGGTGTCTCCTCTCCCTTGCAGGCCCTGGGGCTTGGCAGCAGCCATTCCTGTCTCTCAGCTGGCTATGCACTCACCCCTCCCAGACCTCTTCTGAGCTCCTGGGCTGGGACTGCTGGACTGTGGCTAGCACCAGTAGCAGCTCGGGTGATAAAACGGGGGAGGGGCCCAGCCTGCCCAGGGGATGGCCACCCGCTCCACCTCCAGCCCAGAAAGGACAGTAAGCACCACGTGCTGTAAACAGAGAACAGGGCCCGGCTCCCTGCCCCCTCTGCACGCTCCCAGCCCCAGCTCAGCTGGAGTCCTTGTCCCAGGCTCCTCTGCCTTAGAGCCCAGAAATCTGGGCCTCCAGCCCCACCATCTCTGATCCAGGGAGGGATCCCCAGCTTCGTCAACAATTAAAAACTGAGGCCGCTGGGCCTCCTATCCCCATCTCCCTTAGGACCCAGGAGTCTTACCCCAAGTCCTGAACAAACTGTCCCCTCTCCCCCAGCCAGGCTGCCTTCCCTCTCCCCAGGGTGGATTCAGGCCCAGTGATCTCAGCTCCCGCCCCCCAGGCTGGCCCTGGCACAGGCGGCCCCAGCTGTTGGGGGGAGTGAGAGGGTAACCAGCCCTTCCTGTCCCTCCTGGGAGGACAAAAGTCAATTAAGGGCAGTGCCAAGCTCAGCTAGGGGTCTGAGCCACAGGTCCTACTGTGTGGTATTCCATATCGGGCACTCTATACCTGCCACTTACCCTTCACAGCTCATCCTACTGTGACTGTCACCTCCACCTCACACATGGGGATCTAAGGCTCAGAGAGACACTTCACCTATGTCGTTCCACATGCTCCTGGCCTGGCCAGCTCTCTCACCCTTCAGGTCTCAGCTGGTCATTTCCCGGAAGAGGCACCCCCTAACTGCTCCTCCTCATCTAAGTAATGATACCTCCATCATTACTATCTTAAATTCTTCTTCCTATAATTTTACACATTTGCAATTATATGTTTGTTTGCTGTTTGTTGTTTATCTCCCCCCCAGGGGCAGAACCAAGTATTATGGAGCTTTGGAGCTTATGTGTGGAGGTGGGGCTCTTTAGGAAAAGGAATATGAAATCATAAATACAAAATTAGGTACAGGGTCTTGGGAGGGGCTCCGTGCCAGTGAGAGGCCTGGGGCCTCAGCGTCACTTCCTTGGCTGTAGGAGAACCCTGTCTCTCCTCCTTCATGCTTCAAGAAAGTGTGACGAGTCAGAGTGGGAACAGAAGCCAGTGAGTGGGAGGCTGGGGAGGGACCACCCCATCCCAGGACAAACAGATGGCTGGACATAGGCCTCTGAGGCGTGTGTTTTGGAGTTGGCTCTAAGTTTTGGTGGCTGTGACAATGGAACACTGGCCCAAGCCGCTTGCCAGGTGATCCTGAATGAGGATCACCTCATTTCCAGGAGGTTTCTCCACCTGGAAACTGCACTTGATATCCTGCTCACTGAGGCCAGAAATGCGCCTGGAAGCAGTACCCCATGGGTGGCATTTTCCATGCACGGTTGGCTTTGTGGGCCTCACTTGGCCTCACTGAGATGTGTACTGGGTCATTTTTCTCTGTGGTGCTTACCACTGTCTAACATGCTGTATCATTTATTATTTGTGTTGTGTGCCTTCTGTCTCCCTCACTACAGTACAGGCTCCCTGCGTGCAGGGACTGTTTCATTCACTGCTGTACCCCAGCCCTGGCAGGGTGCCTGGGCCACAGCCAGCACATAGTACTTGGTGCTTGATGGACTGCGAATCCCACTCTGAAGCTGCTGTCATTTACTTCCCATCTATGGGGCAGGGCTCCTTGAAGATGAGGGCAGAGGAGACCTGGACAGGGTAAGTGAAATGCACAAAGCAGTAGGGAAGAGGCCAGATTCCAGGGCTCTGCCCTTTGCTCTACTCCAGGAGGCTCCCTGGAATTAGTTGGGCTGGGTAGAGGTGGGAGGAAGGGATGCTGAGGTTGCCAGAAACTTGCAAGAATCTCAGACAGAGGGCACTGGGGCAGGGCAGGCCAGCTAGGGCCACAGGCAAGGACTGGGGCAGAGGTAGGGCTGAGAGGTTCTGCCACCTGGGCACCAGCCCTTTGCCCTAAAGAGCCACAGAACAGCTGGACCCAGGCAGCCTGAATTTTGGCCCCTGGAGACAGAGCAAGGGTGAGAAGAGCAGTGGGAAGTGAGGATATGATGGGAGGAAGAGCCAGGTCTGGGGCCTGGGAGGGGCAAGGGCTTCAAAAGGGGAGGCTGGGGTGGTGGAAGAGGGAGTATAGGCCACTCCCTGAGTGTATCTGCATAAAAGAGCTGCTCTAAAGGCTGCTGTGTTCTCACATGCTTTACATGAACTAACTCATTTCATCCTCCTCACAACCCATGAGGTCAGGGCCACTGCAGATAAGAAAACAGGCAGGGAGAGGGGACCGCCCTGGGTCACAGAGCCAGCAAGGATGACACTGCTTGTCTGTGCTGTGTTTCTGTGTGTCACTACTCTCCTTCATGTCTCAGCTGTGTGCTTTCTAGGTGGTCAGTTACGAGTGTGTCTGAAGTTCACACACATGTATGTACACATGTAGGTATGTGTCATGTCTGATTGTCCTGGCCTGTGTTTGTGGGAGGGTCTGTGTGTTTTGAATGTTTCTTAACATTAAAACGTGTCTGAAGGCACGTTTGTATGCATGCGTCATGGCCCATTTATGTTTCTCAGTCTGTAAGTATATCTGCATATTTCTCTTGGCCTATGAGATTGTGTGGGTATGTGGTTTTTTTGTTTTTTGGTATGTGTTTTTACGTGAATGAATGCATATCTTGGTGTGTTGTGTGGTATGCATCTTTTCCCATTTGCTCAAGCCAGAATGCAGGGCATCATCCTGGTCACCTGCCACTCCCATTCAATCCATCACGAAGTCCTGTCCGCTCTGCCCCTAGCAACCTCTGGAACCTGGCTCTACTCTGCTGCCCCCTCATCTGGATGATTGTAACAACTCTTTACATGTCTCTGATTTTGCCCCTTCAATTGCTTTTCCACATAGTAGCCAGAGAACCTTTCTAAAACTTAAATCTGGTTATACACTCACAACCTTTCAACACCCCCCCCCCTTGCTTTAAGGATAAAGCCCCAAATCCTGGATGAAGCCTCCCAAACCAGGCACCATCTGGGCCCCCTGCATGCCCTGCCCCTCTCTCCCTTCCCTCTCTTGCCGCTCTCTGCACACAAGAATGTGCTGCTTCCTTGGGCCTCAAGGTCTCTGCCAGAGCTGTCCTCTTGGCCCTCCCTGTCCCCTTGCCCAGCAGTCAATGCCTGTGCATCCTTAGGTCCAGTGGCACTTCATTGGGAAGCCTCCCTCTTACATTTTCACAGGATTTCCCTCTTATATTTATGATGCTTTACATCTGATTTGTGGGATTATTTGATTAATGTCTATGTTCCCAGCTCAAATATGAGTCAGTCCTCACCATCGAGAGCCCAGGCCTGGCACAGGTGTTCAGTGAATGTTTGCTGAACGAATCTGTGCAACTGGAGTCTTTGGGGTTCAGAATCAAGGTTGGAGTACATAGCAGTTTTAAGCTCATACACTCCCTGCCCTCAGGAGGCTGGGGACAGCCATCTCTCTGCCCTCACAGGCCAGGTAAGGAAGCACAGGGGACCTCGGTCTCTCAGAGCCTCAGTGTCCTCGTCTGGGAAATGGGGTGATAATAACAACACTGGTATCATGGTTACTGGCAAGGTCGAGATGATCAGGACAGCTTTGGCCAGCCTGATGCCCTCAGGGTAGGGGTTAGGGTCTGATTCACCCATCTGGGACCCAGCACCAGGGCAGGGCCTCAGGAAATGACAGGTGAATCACAGAACTTGCTTGCAGGAATAAGCCTCTAGAAGTAGGTGGGTCTATGGCTTTGTGAGTAGGAATGGCTCGGCCCTGTGCAGGGAGCCCTATGCAAGAGGAATCTGACTTCTCATGACAACCCTAAGGGCAGTATGATTATAATTATCCCCATGTTACAGTTCATGCATTCCTCTACTCATTTACTCAATAAATATCTGAGTACCTGTGTGCCTGGCATAGCAGGCTCTGGAAATGTGGGGTAAACAAGGCAGACACAGCCTCACTCTTTAGGAACTCACTGTCTAGTGGGAATGACAGTATAATAGCTTCTGCCCCTCCTAAGGACTTGCTGTGTGCCAGTGCCAAATGCACCACACTCATTCAGACCTCAGACCTTTTCTTTTCTTTCTTTCTTTTTTTTTTTGTGGTTTTCCTTATCTTGG